TATATCCTTATATGAGTAATATATTATTGGTAGTTTTAATATATATATATATATGATTAAAATAAATTTAGAATTTGTGTTTAAATATTTTAAATATTATATCTCATGCGGATATCATTTTGCAAAGAAATATTTTTATTAATTTATAATTAAGATAATTTTATAAAAAAAAAAGTAGAAGTTTTAAATATAGGTAAAAAATATTTATTTATTAATTTATATCAAAATATTATTTAAAATTAAATTTCAAACAAAAAACTCGAATTCAAATCAAAATCAAATACACTATAATTTATGAGAAGAATTAAGGTGTTAATTATGCCCTTGTGGTCCGTTGGTGTGGGGATCGCGGATAAACTTGTGACCATAAGGTCATGGGTTTAAACTCCGACACTTTCAGGTCCATCTGTCATAAATTTACCGAACAATTAGATAAAAGAAAATTTAATTTAATCTCAGGTTGAACAAAAACTTTTCTCTTCCTCCGAATTCCAAATCATCAAGGGGCGTTTGGTCAATCCTAAAAATTAAAAATAAATTAAGTTTATTTTTTGTAAAATTAAAATAATATAATTTTTAAAAAATTATAAAAATTAAATAGTAAAAAAAATCAAAAATTAAAAAAATATATATATACTGCAATATCATTTTATTTTTCAAATTTTATTTTTTTGACTCAAACAAACAAATAAGAGAAATGATACTATTTTCATTTCTTTGACTTCATTTCTCTGTACCAAATACAAGCCAAATTTAATACTTTTTTTTCTTCCATTTTTTTCGTCCAATCATAAAGTACATGAAATAATAGTATTCCTAGTATAATGAATAGTTAAAAATAATGTAAAAACAATATTGTCTTTGTTTTTTTGTATAAAAATAATGGTAGTAAAAAATGGGGTTTATAGTTACTAAAAAAATAAAATAATTACAATAAAAATTTATATACTTTGTACCGAATGACTACTTGTTTCCATCAACTTACATTTAAATTATTACACCAACTCCAAAATCCCCAGACAAACACACCCTAATAAATATATGCGATAAATATGATGGTGTATACTCCCTCCTTCCCGTAAAATTATATAGGTTTAGTTGAACATAAATAATAAAAAATAATAATATTCTAATATTAAAGTACAATACCTAAAAAGTAAAATGAGAGTATTATAAAAAAATTATTAAATGAATGATTAAAAAGAAAAAAAAAAGTAAGGTGGTAAAAATAAAAATAGTTGCAAATTGATTATTATTTATTAAAATAAATAATAAAATTGTGAATAGATAAAATTATACTCCCTCCATCCACGGATAAAGTATACATTTACTTTTGGCGCGGTGTTTAAGAAATAATAGTATTTTAATTATAATGGATAGTTAAAAGTAGTATAATGACATTTTTGTCTTTTCTTTTTTATATAAAAGTAACGATGTGATGTAAAGTAAGGGTATTTATGAAAAAAAAGTAAGGTATTTAATAAAATATTTATTTTGTAATTGGACGTTCCAAAATAGAAATGTGTATAATTTTTAGCTGGAACGAAGGGAAGGGAGTATATAAATTTAGTCGTACGGCCAAAAAAAATTGGTACATACTAATTTTCTCGGAGAGTGGACATAAGAAAATAAAATTTTAATATAAAATATCAAATAAATTTTAGCAAATTCTATGATATGCCAGAGCTCTTCCCCTTAACCAAATAATAGCAAAACACAAAATAAATGGTGTGTTTTGTCTGGGGAATTAGATTTAATTTTTACTATTCATTTCATTTTTTCCCTCCAAAAATATCAAAAATCAAACACCTATTTTTCATTTTTTATATTATACTAAAAATCAATTTTACATTTAAAACATCACATCAACACCTATTTATATCACATCATACAACTATTTAAATTCAAAATTTTTATTATTCAAATCTCAACTCAAAATCCAACCCCCAAACAAACACGCTCAAACATCAAAACAAAAAAGCTTTAAACATAGTAGCGAGGGCTAGACAGTGTTATTTCTTCTTGAGCTATCACAATCCCGTCAATTCAATATCAAATCATATCAAGATTATAGCTGTTAACGATCCGAGCCGAGCCGAGCCAAATTTTAAGTGTTCGTTAACGTTCGCAAACAAGGTTCGTGTTCATTCGTTAAGCTTTCGAGCTCGTTCGTAGTGTTCGAGCTCGGCTCGTTAAGAATTTTTATTGTTTGAGCTCGTGTTCGTGTTCAGCTCGTTTAGGCTCGATTAAACTCGTTCGAGCTCGTTTGTCTTTTTTTTTAAAATTTATATATAAATTATAAAGAAAATTTAAAATTATTTTATTTATATATTTTAAAATTAATATTTTATTTATTTATAAATTATAATTTTATATGTATATATAATATTTATAATAAATATATTATTTAAACGAACGTTCGCAAACAAAGTTCGGGCTCGTTCGTTAACCAGACGAGCCTGTTTATGCTGTTCAACTCGATTCGTTAACGTTTGCGAACGAGCTTTAACCGAGTCGAACCGAGCCGAGTTCACGAACGATTCAATTCATTTATCAGCTCTAATCAAGATAAAGACAAAGACAAACTATTTACTCCTTTAATTTCATATTCATCTTTTTCCTTTTGCTCTCTTCAGTGCGAGACAATCAAACCAAAAAGACTTGAATCAATACTTTAAAACGACCAAAGTTGGAGAGTAAAAAGATGATTCTCTATCTTCTCCACTTAAGTTGTCTATTGCCGGTCCAAATAACCTCCAAACTTGCTTATGATATTTGTCGTACATCCTTAGTAGTGGTGTGGGTTGAGATAATTTATAACGAAGATTGATCAACTCTATTGATGATGACATTAATGTTTTCGAATCAGCATTATGTAGTGCCCTTTCCTTCGGAGTATATTGCATCCTCGGCTTCTCCACTACCGCAGTCGGATTTTGATCACCTTCTGCTTTTGTTGCTCCTTCAAGTATGATAGTTTTCAAAGAAGGAGACCATCCGTGCATCACATAATCCCAAGTTTTTTTCACTTATCGACAAGATGAAGTACTTTATCTTTATATTAATAGTTTTCTCCATCTAGCAATGGATGTTTTGAAATAGAACTACCTTCTTTTGCAACCATAATCATGGTTAACTCTTTAATAGCATCAAGAAGTATGCTCTAACACTACTTGTTGGTCTTAGACTTACTAAATTGAATAACAAACAAAAATCAAACCAAAAATATTATCAGACAGATTCAACCACAGTCTAGCATATCGTAAATTGTCAAACAATATATGCACTCTGAAAGTAATAAAAATAAAATACATAAAAATAATAACACAGTTCGATCATGAACGATCTACATCTGAAAAGTACCAACTCAGGCTTACATCAACTCCTCAATAATCACAATATGAGATGTTCTCCTTAGAAAATCCCCTACCTTTTCCCCAAAGGATTCCCCAACATCACTTCACTCTATTTACAACTATGCAATTCTAATGATCTTTAAGGGTGTGTTTGTTTGGGAATTGGATTTTAAATACACTATTCATCCCATTTTTTCCTCCAAAAACATCAAATCAAACACCTATTTTTTATTTTTTATATTATACTAAAAATCAATTTTACATTCAAAACATCACATAATTTCAAATTCAAAATTTTTACTATTCAAATCTCAACTCAAAATTCAAAGCGCCCCGCACAAACACACATTATCAATTTGTTACAATAGAATATTGGATTCAACAACACATGGCAATGGTGACCAGCTTCAATGGCTATTGTGATCTCTTAATGATCATCAATTTAATATGATGAACATGGATCTTCTTCTTGAGTTGGGCCTAGATCAAATGGGTTGCATCTGTCTACCTGATCCATGCAATCTGATCACCTTACCTGCAAATAACATCAACTAAAATAATGAGTAAATACAAAGAGTTAAAAGTAAAAAAATAAAAATAATTGATTTATGGGTAATTCTCTTCTTAATGGTAAAGAAAGTCAAGTGTGCTTTCTTTGTCTTTTTTTAATGTAGCTTTTATATATATATATAATTAATTGTAGTATTTTTTAATTGAATTTTTAACTTTTTATTTTGAAAAGTATGTTAAGGATGTTTCTTTTCAAAGATTTTGTCATATTTCCATTATGACGGCAATTATAGTATTGAATTTTAAAATTCACCGATGTACCGAACAATATCCAATAAATTCACAAAAAATGCATAATATTATTCTCGACAACACATTATTTATATTAATACAATATAAACATAACACATTATATAAACCGCAATGATTCATTATACATATTCTAAATTTTTAAATATAATTTTCTTTTTAGAAAATATACTTCCTCCTCCTTATATATATTTTGCAATATTTTATATTTTTTTATATATCTTATATATATATATATGCTGAACTATTTTTAAAATATAATATTATTAATTACATTATATCTTATCCGTTCAAATAAAAAATAAAAATATATTTTGGTCTCTTATTATATTATATAATTTTCAATTTATTCTAATTAATAATACTCATCTACATTTTCATGATAAAAATTAAATATGGCAATGGAATGGAAAAAATATTATTTTAATAAATAATACTCCCTTCGTTCCAAATACCATGTCCACGTTGTCGTTTCTGTCCGTCCCACGTACTATGTCACTTTTTTTTTTAAATGATTACACACTTTAATCTCATCTTAAATTTTTTAATTTTAATTAAATTAATTAGTTATCTTAATCTTAATTTATAATTATTTATATTATAGGATAAATCTATTAATTACACCTTCTAAAATACCGTGTTCTGTAACATACACTGTATCTGAGGACGGAGGGAGTAATAATTTTAATTTTTATGAAAAATTATTGTTTATTATTTTAAAAGCATTGTACTCAAAATATGGTGTATATATATATTTAAATAAATAACCAAGAAATAATAAACTATTAAAATCCAAAAATAACCCTTGTTCTTACATAACTGTCAGTTTCCATTCGTCTTCTTCTACAAAATTTGACTTAGTGCAGACTTTCAACAAATTTCTCATTCTCCCTCGCTCCCTCGCTGATTAGGATTTACGAATTCTTTCTAATCTTTCCAAATTCGTTGTAAGTCTCCGCTTGATCTGCTTTGCGATTGTTTTGCTGCATCTGATGAATTGTTGCGTTTCTCTTTGTGTTTGCGTTGATTTTTTTATTAGTTTAGAGAAATACGATTGGGTTTTTGGGAAGAAGTTTCATGATTTTCTATTTTTGCTATTATATCGTTATGTAGTTCTATTGCATTCGGGCCATTTTTTGAGGTTTAGAGGGAAAATGGGAACAAAATTAGGAGACTGAGATTGCCCTTGTTCTACGATCATTATCGAATGGATGTGTTCGATTTCACGGCTGGAGATCCAATTATGTGAACTTTGAGAAGGATTCTATATTGGACCGATTTGTTATTAACTAGTGGTGGAATTTGGTGTTTTTTTCTGATCAAATTTGAAGTGATTCGACAGTTTTAGAATTGTGTTGACTGAATTAGAAAAGACAATCTTATGGCTCGGGACTTGTATCTTGATTTAATTCGAAAATCAAGACATTGCGATATTTACATTAGTTGAAACGATTTTCAAAATCCATATAATATTTGTTTTGTGAACACTTGTGTTTCTTTGAGATTTTGATTTAGGTTTGGGGTTTGGGATTACTAAAATCTTGAGTTGAAATAACTTAAATATGTGTTTGATTTGATAGTTCTTGGGAAAACAAATTTGATGAATAGTTGAGAGATGTTCTGTTTCTCAATTTTAATATTATTATGATGTTGTTGTTAAATAATTACCTTCACCCGAAACCTTATTTAGCATGATTTTAGAGCATGTCCAGTGATCGAATGACAGTCCATTTGTATATTATAAAAGGGAACAAACTCAGCCTACGGCACCTGTAAGTTAGGGGAAATGTTAGGAGGAATTTGTGTATACGACAGACAGAAAGATTCATCTCATTTTAAGCTTTTAGGTGAGGCTATATATTGACATAAATTTTAAGTATTATAGACACTATCTTGCCATGGCATAGACTGCATTAATGGTTTACAAGTCTTAGAAAGTCTACTACTTTAGTGCCGATAAGCAAGCTCCTTATTTGTGCACAAGTCAATTCCTCATGTAAGTTCAAAGAATCCGCCAACTTTAGGAGGCTACTTAGGATTGCCCTAATTAGAATAGCTTGGACCTTTAGTATGCAATATGACCTCCGATCTGCATAGAAATTTATTTCTCGGCAATTTGTGATTTTAGCCTGTTTAAGCATCTAATTATTGTATCCCTTATTTGAAAGTGTTGAAGTTATTATATGACTTAATAAAAAGAATTTATGTAGTACCAAATTTTGATAGAATGGCAAACGAGATCTGTAAAATAGCTTCAAGTGACTTGGAAAATAGCAAAATACTTACTTGAAAATTGGCTAATTTGATTTTACTTTTCTGATTTCAGCTGCACTTGCATTGGCTATCAAATGTTCGATTGTGATTCAAAAACTCAATTTGTCTCTGGACAACGTGAAAAGTTTGTAAGGTATCGTGTTCCCCTGCATATATATGAAAAAAAATGATTTCATTGGTCCTACCTATCATGGTGCTAAAGATCATAAAAATGGCAACCTGATCCGTAGAACTTAATCAAAACAAATCATAAATTATGCAAAATATTATGTATAGAGGGAGAAAAAGGAGTGGTGGCATAAACACATTCCCATCACGGCACTTAATGATAAAGCATCACATATTTTCATGTTATTTCCTATGGTATCTGCAATAATAATGAGTTCCTTTTTCTTCCCTATTAAGATTGGACTCCAGATCGTCATTGTCATCACCATCAGCAGCAGTGGCAGCAAACAAATGTGGTTTCAATATCGATGGTTTAAGGTGTGGTAATCATACCACTGCATCAAAGTCCTTTAAGATAAGAATGACCAAAGGATCTCAAGGATTAAGATCTTTTGGTCGATCTCTAGGATATGGCGTCTCTCGAAAAGTATTTCCTGAAGATCTCAAAGTGTCTGAGAAGAAGATATTTGACCCTCAGGACAAACTTCTGACACTATGGAACAAACTTTTTGTGATGTTGTGTATTTTGGGGGTATCTGTGGATCCTCTGTTCTTCTTCCTTCCAGTTTTTAACAAATCATCGAATTGTCTAGACATGGATAAAAAGTTAGCTGCAACTGCCACAGCACTGCGGACAATGCTTGATGCTTTCTATCTTATTCACATGGCTCTACAATTCCGAACTGCTTATATTGCTCCATCTTCTCGGGTTTTCGGACGTGGTGAACTTGTAATAGATCCTGCAAAGATTGCTAAACGATACTTGAAGCGTTATTTTATCATTGATTTCCTTGCGGTTCTTCCCCTACCTCAGGTTTGAAACAGTATATTTAATTGTGTTTCTTCTTGATATCTGATTTTGCTTTGGGTTTTTAGATTGGTAGATTTCAAAACATTTGAATCTTATGCATCCCATAGGCAGGTTTTAAGAAGCTAGTATTTTCTAGAACAGAATATTTTTCCTCATCCAATATTCTTTGGAAGTCTTCTAATTGTTGAAATTCTTGTTTGTGCCATTTTATTGAATTTTGTCCTGCTTTTGATTTTTGCAATTCTACTCTAGCTGGAATAAAGTATCTATGTTTTATGTGGATATGCTGATTTGGGTTTGAGAAATATATTTATGAAATGAATGTATTATTATTATTATTTTCTAACATAATATTATATAGTCATTGTATAATGTAATTGGATTTGAGTATTAGTTTAGCTTTAGGGTATAATGTAGGTAATTGTAAACAGGGAGATTTAAATTAACCGAAGGGAAACCATGAAATAGTTATTGGGATTTTATAAGAGAGAACAAATATTTGGATGAAGTTATGTTTTGTTGGTTGCGAATTAGTGTGCTCCGAGGTATTCAAAAATTGAAAGCAAAACAAACTGATGCAAATCAAATTCATGACTTCACTTGGCCAGATACTTGTCCCTGCATTACATCACGATGCTTTTTCTTACACGTTTAATATGAATGTTGATTTGGAGGTTTCTTCCCATCTTTTTGAATGTCTGCAGATCGTTGTCTGGAGGTTTTTACTCACTGCAGATGGATCCGATGTATTGGCTACTAAGAAAGCGCTTTTTTTCATCATTTTGCTTCAATATATTCCCAGATTTGTCCGAATATATTCTCTAACTTCAGAGTTGAAAAGAACTTCTGGTGTCTTTGCTGAAACTGCTTGGGCCGGCGCCGTGACCTATCTGCTGCTCTACATGCTCGCTAGTCATGTAAGTTTCCAGTTAATGAATCTACACTAACAATTCATGTTACTGTTGGGTTTTAAAATTCGAAAGGGATAATTCTCACTAATCCATTTCAATAAAAGCTCTTGAGGTGCATATGACAATGTTTTGAGTGCCTTAGAACATACATCTTCTCTTTAGTTGGGAAGACTCAAAATGACTTTAGTTTGAAATGTCATTGCTTTCTCACTCTACTACTCTTTTTGTCCACAAATTTTATGTATATTTTTCTTTTTTTTGTATGTCCATAAAAAATATGCATTCTCCGTTTATAGCAAAAAAAAAAAAAAAAAAAAAAGAAAGAAAAACTCAAATTTACCCTTCAATTTTATGTTTATTTACAAATATGCCACAATCAGACTATTTATACACATACTTGATCCAAAAAAAATTTCACCCCATTAACTCACTTTTCCAGTTTTCACAATATTTGTATTTTATGTCATAATCAACCAATCAATGTAATATTATATCTATTAAAACCGTGTACAGCTCCTATGATCATAAAAGTAGAGAGAGGGAGTTTCGAGTTAGAATTTTAACATTGTAATAGTTAAATTATTGTGCATGGTATTACTGATCCAGAAAGCATTCGTCTCAAGCTTTGCCATTATCGTGGATTCATGGCCTAACTAGAATGAATAGCATTCGTTTCCTTGTGCATTGTTTTTTCAATCTTATAGCTAATGATGTGTGTCTCCGAAGTCTTGGTACATAAAACAATTTGACAGCAGATATTTTTGTATTTGAAAATGGTCTTTCTTTCTTTATCAAAAATCCTTGTTGACATGAGTTTCCATTGTGGTTTTTTGAATCCTTGTACATATTTTCTTCATGTGTATTGAATCGACAGATACAGTTTCTGCATAATGTGCTTTTATTACAACGAGAATATCTCTTTTGTTCTATACAGATTGTTGGGGCTGTCTGGTACTTGCTATCCGTTGAGCGCAACGATACATGCTGGCAGAGAGCTTGTAAGAACAATCAAACATGTAGGATCGGTTTCTTATACTGTGGGAATGAAAATATGGAAGGCTACAAGATCTGGAGCAATATTAGTACCGAAGTCCTGAACTCAAATTGCCCTGTGGATGATGACAAAAATCCCCCGTTTGATTTTGGAATTTTTGGGAATGCTTTGTCATCTGGTATTGTTTTCTCCAAAAAATTTGTGTCCAAATATTGTTATTGTTTGTGGTGGGGGCTGCAGAATTTGAGGTAAACGAACTTCTCGGTTTCAACTGATCCATGTGTCCTTAAATTCCCAGTTATTTAAATTCCGGACATTTTAGCATTGCCTTGTATAATTTTAGTATTTCATTTCTGAAAGAGTGTGGTTAAAGTAATCGACCAAATTTCCATTGATTTTGAGATAAGATATTCCCTTTCAAAATTATGTCTGAATCAATATATTTATTAGAGAATACACTCGTGTTTGATTGAATTGCTAGTTTTGAAATGTTTGACTCTCCTTGTTTTGAGTGATGAATGTCGATGGTTTTGATAGACTTTGTGTCGATATTATTTGAAGATTGACGGTAGTAGTACTTAATCGGGTTTGCATAAAGTATTTTGTCGTACTCTCTGCAATTACGCCGTTCTTATATTTCTGCAGTACACTTGGGCAAGGACTTCAGACGAGCACATACCCGGGAGAGTCCTTATTCAGCATTGCGCTCGCCATATTCGGTCTAATCCTCTTTGCACTGTTGATTGGAAACATGCAGGTGCTGTACAAACTTAGCTTTCACCATTTTCTTTCGACTCTTCCTTACTGCGTTTTTGTGATCTTAAGTAAAAATAATTTAGGATTTCCGAACTATGCGCTTGAAACTTTTTCGGTGTCTTCTTGTTTCTACAGACGTACCTTCAGTCGCTTACTATTCGTCTCGAAGAGATGAGAGTCAAAAGACGTGACTCGGAACAATGGATGCACCATCGTTTGCTCCCACCCGAACTCCGGGAACGAGTCAGGCGCTACGATCAGTACAAGTGGCTGGAAACCCGTGGAGTCGACGAAGAAAGTTTGGTCCGAAGTCTGCCGAAGGATCTCAGACGAGACATAAAACGCCATCTCTGTCTCGCCTTGGTTAAGCGGGTATTACTAAATACTCCCTCCGTTTTCTATTTCCGTTTATTCCATGTAATGTCATTTCATTTTTTTGAAAATAAAATACTCCCTCCGTCATCTGATTGTGTGTTCATGTGACTGGGCACGGATTTTAAAAAAATAGATAAAAATAGAAATTTTTACTTTTTTGGTAAAAAAAAAAATATAAAATGTGGTATCTTTTTACTAAAGAGAAACCCGAATAAATTTGAATGACAATCAGAAAAGGAAAATAAAAATAGATTTGGACAACGGAGAGAGTATATTTTATAATTTTTTAAATTTAATTATATTATTTAGTTATCTTAATCTATAATTATTATACTGCTTAATTATTTACTAATTATATTTTACTTAAATTATAGTATCTAAAGTAATAGACCTGAGGGTGTAGTTATTTATAGTCTTGGCACCAGTGTTACATGCTTGAATCCATACTGACTTGTTAGAAAAATCGGGTATCGTTGATTTGTGATCTGCATGGCTTTCTTTTCAGGTCCCGCTGTTCGAGAACATGGACGAGAGGCTGCTAGACGCCATATGCGAGAGGCTCCGACCATGCTTGTTCACGGAGAACACGTACATTGTCCGGGAGGGGGATCCCGTTGACGAGATGGTGTTCCTGATCCGCGGCCGTCTCGAGAGCGTGACGACCGATGGTGGAAGGAGCGGGTTCTTCAACCGGATACTACTAAAAGAAGGCGAGTTCTGCGGCGAGGAGCTTCTGACGTGGGCGCTCGACCCGAAACCGAGCTCGAACCTTCCGTCGTCGACGCGCACGGTGAAGGCGCTGACAGAAGTGGAGATGTTTGCGCTGACGGCCGACGAGCTGAAATATGTCGCCAGTCAGTTCCGGCGGCTGCACAGCAGGCAGGTGCAGCACACTTTCCGATTCTACTCGCAGCAGTGGCGGACATGGGCGGCGTGCTTCATCCAAGCTGCGTGGCGACGGTACACGAAGAGGAAGGTCATGGAGGCGAGGAGAAAGGAGGAGGAAGAAGAGTCGGGAGGGTTGGATGATTCGGGCCGCGAAAATGGAGGGGGAGGGGGGGGGTCGTACAGCATCCGGGCGACGTTCTTGGCGTCGAGGTTTGCGGCGAATGCTTTGCGGGGAGTGCATAGGAACCGGAACTTGAAGAGCGCGCGGGAGCTGGTGAAGCTGCAGAAGCCTCCGGAACCCGACTTTTCGGCGGAGGCGGAAGAGTAAGTTGAGTGTTGTGCACAGGTTTTGTGTCTAACTACTGCTACTACTGCTTTTTATGAATGAATGTTTTGTGTTGTTGTTGAGGGACTCTAATGTTGCTGCTGCTGCTGCTGTTGGGGGTTTGATCTTAACTACTTCGATCATAAGATTTGAAGAAATTTGTGAAGATATATATATATATATATTTTATGAAGCTTTCGATGGTTATTTTAGGATTTTTATACAAGAAATCGAGTGAGATTTCGAGAACCTACGACTTTTATTTGAATTTTTTCAAAAGTTGATAATGTTTAATTTGATATCTCATTCTCAAATCGGTTCAAGTTTCCGTCAGATTTTTCTAATTTGTAATTTCATCACTGTGTTTGTTTGAAGTGTTGCCATGAAACAGGTGCGCATTGAGTAACCCGTAGCTTCTAATACCCTGCAAATTAAGAGGCGGGTAACTTCACCTCTTTTTTTTTTTTTTTCTTTTCTTTTTTAAATACAATAAATGTGTTGGATTGTAAAATTATTTTTATACTACGGTCTAACTATTTACTATAATTTTTTAAACTTCCCAAAAAAATATATAATATTTACTTTGAATTGGATTAAGATTAGTAATATTTTATGTTTGAATGTTAATATATAAAAAGATTATTTAAATGAACAAAATAGTTGGTGCCTAACGAAAATAAAATTAGTATGATTAGGTCTAGCATCCAGCCGAACTTAATACACTACAAACTAGACCCGACCGGTAAAATCACACTAGGCGAATCATGTGTCGCAGGTGACCTGAGATGTTCAGTTTGAACCCATAACCTCACGGTCAGACGTCCAACCCCGAGACCATTTCTTATTTCTTATATAATAGTAGTATCGCTGAATTCATTACACACGCCTTTTTTCAGGTTTGAATTTATCCTGCACCACTTACCAAAACACAATCCCTTTCTTAAATCATTATTAACATATTTCACGTTCTCAAATTAATATGAAAAACAATAGAAAGGAACAACACTTGTAACTGACTACTGATCCAACAAGTTAGAAGATGTTCACATACATACATATGTTTCAGTTCACATTACTACAATCTCTCAATAAAATAAGTGTAAAATGTAAATTACAAGTCATAAAGCATGCATACATATTATCTGCCTAATCAATCGATCAATCAATTAGGACAAAGAATTGCTTCCATATCCTCTCCAAAATACTTCCAAAGACACTTTCTTTAAATAACCAAGAAAAATCAAAATAATCAATACCAAAAAACGCTGAGAATACTTCTACCAAGTTCCCAGATCCTACATCCCAATAAAAACAGAACAAAATCACCAGGGAGTTTTAGGCATTACCCGATATCGACGACGACGAATTCCAGCATCTTTATGCGCGATTTCTGCATCCTTCCGAAGCCATAAAACAGTAAAAAGCTCAGTCGATTTTCACAGAAGAGTATATGAGCCTCGTGAACCAGAAGCACGCGAAGAACCCGATGGTCCCTGTCAGCACAAAGAAAGCATACGAACCGATCAGCATGTACCCAAAATACATGATGCCGGAAACTGGTTTGGTGATGTTGAGCTTCGTGAAGAAGTAGAACACGGCATAGAGGAAAAGGTACAGTGCCGACGACCCCGAGGTCAGGTACGACCGCCACCACCACAGGTAGTCCTCGCTGCACAGCTGGAAATAGCACAGCACCACCGTGATCTCAGCGCACGTCACCACCAGGATGATGAACACAAGGAACAGGAACCCGAATAGGTAGTAGAACTGGTGCAGCCAGATCGAAGTCAGGATGAAGAACAGCTCAATGAACACAGCCCCGAACGGGAGTATGCCTCCGATCAATATGGAGAAGATGGGGTGCATGTACCACGCCTGCTCGGGTATTTGTCTCGGGATCTTGTTGGTTTTTACTGGAAACTCCATTGCAGGCTTCTTGAACCCGATGTAGCTGCCCACGAAAACGAGTGGGACAGAAATTCCAAACCACATGAGGACCAAGACGAACATGGTCCCAAACGGCACTGCTCCGGAGGACTTTTCGCCCCAAATCAGCGCATTTAAGACGAAGAAGATGGCAAAGACGATCGCGGGAAACATGAACGCCGTTTGCAGGGTTAGTTTCTTCCAATCCGATCCTTTGAACGTCTTGTACAGACGTGAAGAAGAATAGCCGGCGAAAAGGCCCATCAATACCCAGAGAAGAAGCATAGCCGTCATTAGTCCGCCTCTGTTGGAAGGAGACAAGAATCCGAGTGCAGCAAAGATCATCGTGACGAGCATCATCCCAGAAAACTGAACACCAGTCCCGACATAAACACACAGCAGATCCGAGTTTGCTGGAGGCCTGAAGACATCACCGTGAACTAGTTTCCAACCAGTTTCTTCTTGGGCCTCTTCCTGAGTCTCCAACTGGTTGTATTTAGAGATATCGCGGTAGAGTGTTCGCAGCATGATCATTGCCACCATCCCGGAGAGGAAAAGAACAATCATCAAAGAATTCACGATCGAGAACCAGTGGATTTGTTCATCAGCCATGTAAAGATAAGTATCCCATCTAGAAGCCCACTTGATATTACTCTCCTACGACAAAAATGATGGCATTTAGTTCCAAACTTTCAAGCTGCTGCTGCATCCGATGCAAACAGGAGAGGAGATTAATGTAAAAACCGAAAAATATCGTATTACCTGAAACTCCACATCGTATGTGAAGATAATTTCTGTGTTCTCGTCGACCTCTTGTGGAGATTCAGAGCTCGTTACTGTTTTTTTCGCATGAGGATCACAGGTTGTTAATCTTGTCTTTTCATTCCAATCACCCTCATATTCATGTTTAACACTGAATTCACAACCAAACCTTGAGATCAATAACAGGTTAAAGTAAACACATCAGCATATCGGCATATCAAGCATGGTAACAATATAATTACCTAAATGGTTTTACTTCGAATCCCACAATTCTTGCAGCATCAGTTTCTATATCCTTATGATACTTTACAGTAAATGCCAAATGATTGTGGATTAAATACTTCTCCGTTTGCTGGAAAATTGGGAGGGAGAAAGAACAAGAATCAAAATTCAATATGAAAAAGAAACTTTTTGACAATCAAATCAAATACAGAACTTACTCCATATTGTCCTTTCCAGCCAACAGGGAAACCGTGTTGATAAATTAATGTGTCCATGTTTGGTCCTTTAAAAGGCATGACTAAAGGAAGATTATCCAAAATCCTGCAGATAAACCAAACAAATATGAAGGCAATAGTTCATTATATGATTCGCTATGATGTAATTTTTTTCAACAATCATGCTTACATGTTCACTTGATACTCGTCATCAATCTTTTCCTTGAATTCCTTTACCTCGTTGGCATTGAGCTTAGCATTGCAGACAACATTACACATCTGCGGCTCCCGCATCTTAAACTGCACAGATGCACTCCAAGGAGAGTAATTAGTTTTGAGACAAATGTTCTCGAATTTACATTGGATGCACAAAAACGGACCCAGCTAAAATAACTAATCAAAAGATGAAAATATTAAACAAACTTCAGAGATTGAAAAAGGAATAAACAAGAGAAAGCCACAGTGAAAACAAACCTCATAGGGAGAGTTCTCAATTCGATCACCACGAAGAACCTCCCCCAGATTCTCGGCACTGTCAACGATTGTCTGTGGTGTACAGTAAGCAAGGGAATAGTAGGAATAAGGAAGTTGAGTTTTTACTGAGGACAATTTATTTACTTTCACCCTCAAAGGATCACCCTGCATCAAAAGGATTCCAATAAATGTCTGATGTAATCCAATTAGGTCAAGAAGACAAAACTAGCAGACAATAATGCTCACCCGAGCTATCACTTTAGGCCACATTACTACTGTCGGATCAGTCTAAATAAACTAATATTATCCAACTTCATCGAATGTTCATTTCAACAAATAAAGCCCTTAATTAGATACAAGACTGGATGGGAATTTAAATTAGAAGCTTTTTAAGTATGAACAACATGATATTATGGATTCATTATGCATATTACACTACGTCATTCCATAATTTAACCAATCAATCTTATAAGTATACATAAGTTTACAATATCCGATCCTATACATGCAGAATAGCTGAAAATTTACATTTGGAATCCTAAACCAAGGTTAGGGCTCAGCATCAAACAAAATTTTCCAAATTTTGAGTGAGAATCAACACAATTAAACTCACAGCAACGTAATCATCAACGAGATCTAAAAACTAAAACACCTCAACCGATCAAATCAAATTCCCGAACGCACAATAAATTCAATCAAAACTTCACAAAATCATCATTTCCAAACAGGCATATCCACTGCACGTATAAACAAACACTTCAACCCAATACATTCAGAATCCAAAAACGTCGGAAATCAGCCACGCAAAAAAAAAAAAAAAAAAAAAAAAAAAAACCAAATACCTTGAAAAAATCCTGAGGAGCGACGCCAGGCAGGTAGAAGCACTGAGCGGCGTTGATGAACAGGAACAGCATCAAACACACAGATACACACATCGCGCAAGGATTTCTCCCCACGACCTCCATTTTTTTTCCTTTTTCCGCCAAACTCGAGATCGGCAAATTGACGAAGATCTAGATCCTCAGATCACCACGAAAACTCCCCTCCCCGCCGCGCCCCAAACCATATACCGACGATTGCGTGTGAAGGGATTGAAGGAAGGAAGATGAAAATGGAAGCAAAGGGAAATGGATCCAACCGTAGGGAGAGAGACATACAAACTGGATGAAGAGTTGACAGTTTTGCTGCCAAATGGAAACCATGCGGAGCATTCTTCACCGTCCGATTTGATCCGACGGACGACGCTATCTCCGACTGTCAATCGTGTGAAATTATGACACGTGTCGGAGATCTGTTGGCGTTGGAAAAATGAAAGACGCGACTCTGACGGCTGTATAATCAGTCACTCAGATTTGGTGATTTATCATTATTATGTTCTAATTGCTTATCATTGACGTGACTTTTCTTTAAAATTCGTATTAATTAATTAATTAATATTCCATTTATAATTTTAATTTGGGCTTCAAGGTGGCTCATACCGCGGCCCAATTTAAACTAGCCCGTCACACTACAAAAAGTCGGTTAAACTTATTTTAAAAAATTCAGCGGTTTGTTTTTTTTTTTTTTTTAAATCACGTGTAGCCGAACATCATCGGATGGGTCAGGAGTTTGAACCCATAGTCAGGCTCGGCCATGGGCGAGCCTTTGCCCAGGGTCCATTTCCCCTAAGGGCCCATAAGGGACCCAACAATATATATGTACACTCCTATATATTAATATATATATTATTTTTTTTTTATATAGAATATATAAAATAAAATTTTAAATAAAAACTCTATTTTATAATTATTTTTTAAATAAATGATTTCTACATTATTTTTTAAAAAAATTTAATATTTATATGTTTTAGTGTGTTTATTTAATTGTATGATTTTATATATTTTTGTAAATTATGTAAAATTATGAAAATATGATACAATAATATTTTGTGTGTTCTTTTTATTTTTATTTTTATGTCTATATGTTTAAATTTGTATATTTTATTATATTTTTTATTAGTATTTTTAAAATTTTACATATTATATAAACACTGTATTTGTTTCTTTAATTTAAACTTTCTAATTTTTATTATTAGGACTATGCATTTTTTGAAAAATTATATTTTCAATATCAAATTTAAACCAAATTTTTCCCTAAACCAATCAAAAGAAACAAACTCTTAATAAACTTTTTTGTTTGAAAATTCTCTTTTAAAAACTTTTGCTTATTTATAAAAATATTCTTGAAAAAATATTAAATCAAATATATATATTTTTTTATATTATACTACTAAACATATCACATTAATTTTATATTTATATTTTAATCTTTTAATAAATAAAAAATATTTTATTAATACATTTACATTAAAAAATATATAAAATTATTATATTATTATTATAATAATATAAAAAATTTAAGGGTCCAATATTCTAATTTTGTCCCGGGCCTAATAAAGGTCAAGAACGGATTTTCTCATAAGCTCATGGTCACAAATCAACTCCTACACCACCATATCGTTCATTACCATATCGTTCCTTACGACAGTTTATTTTTATTTTCGGATTGTGTGTATATAGGAGGATTGAAACAGACAATTTAGGATTAGGAAATAAATCATTTTATATTTTCTAGTTTTATTTTTCTTATTTTGGATAAATAGAGAAAAATAAAATTGAGAGATCAGCTATGATTATATATTTATTTATTTTATTTTCTGTGTGATTTTACAATTGTATTTATTTTTTTTTTACTATTATTTAATTTTTATATTATTCAAATAACATATTTAAATTATTATTAAAATACTTATATTTTTTAATGATTGATGTATTTTTTTTCAACTGTGTATTCTGTCGTTTTATTTTATTTTTTTAACATTTTTAAAATTCTCTATTTTACCGAACAAAAGAATCAATTATCATTCTGTATTATGTTCAGTTGCAATTTCATTCTTCTATATGTTTTGGTTACTGTTCACGTCTCGGATTGAGATATTAATATAATAAAATATTTATCAAATATTTAAAATTCAATTTGCCACTCAAAATCTTAAATTCAATCACCATATCAATTTTTTTAATAAGATTCAAGGACACTCGATAACCCAAACAAATTCGAAAAATCTGACACTAAATATATCCAGAAACCTAAGTTCTTACATTTATCTAAAAAAGTCTAATAAAAATTATTAGAAATAAAAGAATATTAAAGATATAACTAATAAATAGATATAAACATCAACATTTCAATATCAAACTAACACATAAACGATAACAACATAAATATAAGGGTCATGGGTTCGAACATCCGACTCCACCTACCACACATGGTTTGTTTAGTGTGACTCTTCTTGTCGGATCTAATTACATAATATTAAATTCGACCAAAAATTTACGCAAAGCATTCAAAGTGACAGCTGATTCTCACGTATCAATTTTATTTTTTTTTAAAAAAAAACATAAATAGTATGGACACGGTATTTTAGGTAGTGTAAATTATAAAAAAATTATTTTATTATTTTTTATATGAATAGTGTTGTTATTTTAAGGGGGTGTTTGGCAAATAGCTTTTTGAAGAGCTTTTAGCTTATTAAACAGCTTTTAGCTGTTTGACCAGTCAAAAAACTAATTTAGGTGTTTGGTAAATTAGCTTTTTAGAATAGCTTTATGGACCCAAAAAGCTAATTTTTGAAAAGCTAACTTACCCAGCGTTTTGAAATAGCTTTTTCTGTAAAAAAAATTTTTATTCCTTATATGCCCTTAAAAATTTATTATACATTTTACACAAACAAATATATTTTCATTATTTATTAATTATATTAAAATATTTTATTATATTATAATTTTACTTTTATAAATTTAAAATAATTAATTTTTATATAAAAATTATTTTAATTGTAAAATATATAAATTTATCAAAATCAACATAAATAAAAAAATATAAATATTAATAATTTATTTTTTTTATTAAAATTACATTATATAAATTTTATACTAAAAATAAATTAAATAAATTAAATTTATTGAAAATTATAAATATAATGAACTAATCGATAACTAACCTAATAAATATATACACGAAAAATTTATTATTTTATATTTTACATCATTTTTAATAAAAAAAAACTATTTATATATTTTAATAAAAATTTATTATTTTTTAAAGCTAACTGTAATAAAAATAAATAACACTTTTACAATTTTCAATAACTAATAACAAAAAATTTTAAACATTCTGAACTCAAAAAAACATAATTGAATATATTAGAAACAAGAATAAAATAAAAATGTCTTCAATTGTCATTTTACGTATAAACAGCTAATATCAAACAGTTGTTTTACCAAACATTTTAATATAAACTGCTAATCGAATCAGCTAGTCAAACCAGCTAATTGAATTAGCTAACAGCTATCAACTAATTGAATCAACTAACAGCTAACAGCTATCAGCTAATTACCAAACACGCCCTAAATATTTTTTAAATTATATTATATCTCAATAATGCAATATTAATATTATTGTATAGATAATAAAATTTTATATAATATAAATAAATAAATAAATAAAATATTTATTTATTTATAATTAAATTAAAATTAATATAGATAAACAATATATGTTAATTGATAAAAAATATAAATAAAAAATTTTTGAATCGGTCCATTTAAAAGAGTTAGACTATCCCCATCGGACACATCTCTACTTATATACTTTGCCTTCGAAAGATGTTATCCAATTGACATGTGTCCCAATTTAATTGGGGCACATGACACTTATGTATATATATATGTATATATATAATATATGTTTTATTTTTGTAATTCATATTGAATTTATTGCTATATTTACATTTTGTAATATTCTTATAATTCATAATATTTTGTATTCTACAAAATGATATCAATATTGAATATATTTTATCAATTTAAATTTTAAAATATATAAATACAAATATTATATAATTCTATTGAACAAATCAATATTAATAAATTTAATTTAATTTATTAAATAAAATATAATTATATATTTTAAAGTTAAATAATATAAAATTATATTAAACAATATATATATTTAGTTTATAATTAATTATACATCATCCACTCAAAATAGATTTGAGTGAAAACATATGGCAAAAATTTGATTCGACGAATAATTAAGTTATTTGTTCTTATTTTAATTTTAAATATTTTTACTATAATTGCAATATAATGTAATATTTCCTTCAAAAAATATAATTATTATTTTTATATTTTTTTTTACTAACCAATAATAATTATAACAATAAAATTACAAATTTGATATTAAAATTAAAATTTAATTAAATAATAAATAATATAACTTTTACCCATTTCCCATAATTTTTTAATAAATCAAAATATTGACAAATAATAATATAATATTGTTGAGCATAAAAAAAAATAGGTGGAATTTTTTAGAATGAGCCTACCAAATTAAGTTAAGGTTTATTTGAGTTTAATGGACTTTTAAAAATCCGCCGGATGACTAAAACAGCGAAAGATCTTCACTTATGGGACTAGTTTGCGACATGCTCCGGAGGTGACGTGTCCGCCAGGTGTAAGTATAAACGCTGTAAGGAAGAAGCTTCCTTGGGAAAATGCAGGTCAGGAGACAAGGTCGGGTGCAAAGATCGGGTGCGACCAGGTCGGACACAGAGCTCAAGTGTAACAAGGTCTGGTGTAAAGATCAGGTGCAATCAGGTCAGGCACGGAGCTCAGGTGTAACAAAGTCGGGTGCAAAGATCGGGTGCGACCAGGTCGGACACAGAGCTCAAGTGTATCAAGGTCGGGTGTAAAAATCAGGTGCAATCAGATCGGGCACGAAGCTCAGGTGTAACAAGGTTGGGTGCAAAGATCGGGTGTGATCAGGTCGAGCACGGAGCTCAGGTGTAACAAGGTCGGGTGCAAAGGCCGGGCGTAATAAGGTCGGGCATTGAAGTCGAATGTAATCAGGTCGGGCGTGATAAGGTCTGGCACGGAGATGAGGCAGGATAAGGTCGGGCGCTGAGGTCGGACATTATCAGGTCGGGCAAGGAAGCAGTAGATGTGCTGGTCGGGCGAAAGAGCAGTTCTTGGACAATTGAGGGAAGTTTCAACTGATGAGCGAGTTTGAAGGCATGACTTGGTGAGTAGGTTAGCACACGTGTCAACAGAAGAAAACTTTCTGGGCGGTTGATAGCGGTTGCTGTAACCGACCAGACGGCGGTTCAGACCGTTTCTTTAAAGAGTTTTAAATAGGTTTATTCCTGACCTAAGAAACTATCTTCAATCGACATTAAATTCAAGAGAATTGTTTTTGGAATCACCACTTTACTTTCCAGTCTTTAGTTTTATTTTTCTATTTTGTTTATGTATCCTAAGGTGTTTAGAGATTTCTAATCTCATGCACTAATTATATCAAATTCGAAGATAATTTTCTATTTTTGAATTTTATTTTTTTATTGTTGAAAAAATATATCAACAAATATAATATAATAATTAAATAAATAATTAATACTAAAAATTAAAACTATAATTAAAAAATAATATATATATATATAATATGAAAATAAAAATTTATTAAAAAATTAAGATGAATATTTTTTTGCGAATATAAAATAGAAAGAAAAAATGATGTGAATAATAAAAAGTAGTGAAAATAACCAAAAGAAAGATATCTCTACGGCGGATGATCTTATACACAGGGGTGGGGTCCATTTAAAAGAGTGGGTGCGAATAAAGTAATAAATAATTTTATTGGTTTATAATTTTATTATGAGTGTGTTTACTTTAGGGTGTGGTCGCTGGGGTAATTGAATTTTAAATATATTGGTGATTTCATTTTTTTTAAAAAAATATCAAATTAAATATTTATTTTTTATTTTTTTATATTATATTAAAAATTAATTTTATATTTAAAATACCACATCAATATCTATTTATATCACATCATACAATTATTCAAATTGAAAATTTTTACTATTCAAATTCCAACTCAAAATCCAAACTCCCGAACAAACACACCCTTATAAAACTTTGATTTTGGTTTTACTATTTCAATAATTTTTTTCTTAAAAATATCAAATCAAACATTTATTCTTTTATTTATTATATTTAATTTAATTTAATTTAATTTCAAAATATTACATTAATACATATTTATATCATTATTTAAAATCAAAATTTAAAATTAAAATTTTACGAATAATCAGATCCTATATTTATTTAAGTCATAATAATTAAATTTGTTATTGCTTTTACTTATTATTGCATTATATTTTAATTAACTATTTAGGGTGTGTTTGTTTGGGGGTTTGGATTTTGAGTTGGGATTTGAATAGTAAAAATTTTGAATTTGAATAGTTGTATGATGTGATATAAATAAGGTTTGATGTGATGTTTTGAATGTAAAATTGATTTTTAGTATAATATAAAAAATAAAAAATAGGTATTTGATTTGATGTTTTTGGGGGGAAAAAATTGGATGAATAGTGGAAATCCACCAAAATCCTTCAAACAAACACACCCTTAATAAATTTATTGGTGGACGACTTTTTATATAGAGGCGAGCAGCTGAGTTCCTCCTTTCCATTCTATCCCCTTCTCCTGCTAGAGAGAGGAAGGACATGAACTCACTCATCCTCACCCTCTCTCTATCAAAAAAATCTTTCTATATGATTGTGTAATCTGTTAATTCCTTGTTATATTCGCATACTATATAAGAAGAAGGAATCTGAATTGATATATATATATATAGAGTAGTGTATCTATAGATTGAGCTTGAGACCAGGCGGTGGCGCTCGCGGCAGAAGCAGAGTATTTGAATCCGCGGCGGCGAATTTTGATCTCCCGCCTGCTGCGTCCCCATGGTGGCAACGCTGCGCCTTCTTTCAAGGTGCGTTGATGTTCACTTTGTATTTGTTAGATCTAGGGTTTCTGGATTTGTTGGGAATGCTTTTATAAGAATGGAAGTTTGATTATTTTACATTGGATATGTTTAAAACAGTGTTTCTAATTATTTGTTTCGTACGATTTGTCTTTTTCATGATGTGAATATGAAAAATATCTGTTAAATATCTGAGTTTGATGTTTTTAAGAAGAACTGATGAAGTCACGAGCTGGATGCTTCTCTTTTTTTGGTCTTGTTGCATACAAATCTAAGTTCCACGTTGGTATCAGAGCGTCAGAACTTTACAAAATAATCTATACAAAATAAATAATTTACAAAAATGATCAATTGGGTGTGTTTGTTTGGGGGTTTGGATTTTGAGTTGGGATTTGAATAGTAAAAATTTTGAATTTGAATAGTTGTATGATGTGATATAAATAGGGTTTGATGTAATGTTTTGAATGTAAAATTGATTTTTAGTATAATATAAAAAATGAAAAATAGGTGTTTGATTTGATGTTTTTGGGGGGAAAAAATTGGATGAATAGTGAAAATCCACCAAAATCCTTCAAACAAACACACCCTTAATAGATATACAAATATTAATTAAAATATTAATTAAATAGATAATCTACAAAGTAAATAGAGAATTAGAACAGGAAGAAATAATACAAGATAATATAGAACAAATAGCAGATCTAGAACAATTTGATACAGAAAATTGGTTTATAGAATGAATAAATTCCCAAAAATAGAATTTGCAGAAATATTAACTGAAAACATAAGATTTCCAATTAACTCAGTAGAAAAAATATCAGCAGACCAAATATGGTTAAAACCCTTAAGTGCTTGGGGAAGAAATTACGGAGCTTTAAATCAACAAATAAATTGGACGAATGCCTTTTTATGGCAACAACTATCTAGAAAAGACTTAAAAGTAGAAAACGAAATAGCTAACCTTACCTTAGATAATAGTGGAACTTTAGGATCCAGATTACCATCTAGATACAAAGAAATTACAGATTACTTAGCTAAATTAACAAATATAGATCAACAAATCTTAGACGAAATTAAGAAAAAAGCAACTGAAATAAATAATAAAGATAAAATAACTCACATAGAAGAACAAACAGCAGGTTTACAAAATAAAATAAAAGATATAGAAGAGAGACAAAAACAATTAGATAAAAAGATAGATCAACTTTTACTAGCTAATGGAATACCTAGTAAACCTACAACACAAAAAGAACCAGGAAGAATACAAGGATGAAAAATACAATAGAATTAATACAAGATTTAGAAAAACAAATAGCTTCAGCTACACAACAAATATTATACGAAATAATTAAAAATAGAGTACGAATAGAAGTAATAGAAGAAAAACTAAGAATAATAGAAGAAAAGCTTACATTAAGACAACCAAGAAAAGAAAGAGTAAAAGAAGTCCAAAAACAATTAAAATTAGAATACCATCCAGGAAATTACGAAAAAGGAAGTCCAGACGAATTTTTCTTTAAAACATTTATACAAGAAAAAGATAGGAAATTAAGAGAAGAAAAATTAAAAGAAAAAGGTAAAGAAATAGCAAGTACATCAGAATCTAACAATGAATGAAGAATTAGAAAGATTAGTAGAAGAATTAGGACAATTAAATATAATAAATAAAAAAGACGAAGTAGAAGTCTTTATGGATAACACATGAACAACAGGAAAACCTATTAAAACAGAAGATACAGACAGTAATCTAAGACCAGCAAAAAGAAAACCTTATAATTATGTAACTAATAGAAATCATAAAGGATTAGACCAACGAGAATCACCTTATACACCAGTACCTTATAGAGAACCTTTACCCTATGTAGGAGAAGGAAACTTTTTAAACATAGACTGTGTTACAGACGTAGAAAAAACCCTAATAGATTGGGAGGACATAACAACACTATTTTTAGTATATAGGAAAGAAAATGAGTTAACACCTAAAGAAAAATTTGAAATAGTTACTACAATGTTCAAAGGAAACGTAGCTAATTGGTATGAAGGAATATCTAAAGAAACAAAGACTTTAATACAAACTAATACAGAAGCAGAATTTGCCATATTAGATAGGGCAGGAATGAGATAGTTAGTATAATAGCTAACGAATTTACAGGAAACTTATACTCAGTAAATAGAAGTAAAGCTACTCAATTAGAAAAGGAAAGAGCAAGAATAGGATTAGAGAAAATAGGAATATGTAATATGTGCTATTTACCAGAATATACATGTAATTACCAAGAATTATACTATAGACAATATTACAGCGTAGAGAATCAAGAAGAACTAGCTAACAAATATATAATTAAATTACCAGAACCTTGGGATACTTATTTTATGGATAAATGGCGAACCACAGGAGTACAAAATTACCAAAATAATTTAGGAGGAAGAATCGATCAACCTTAGATCATTTCCTTGTTTAAGAATACTATGAGTGAGTGAGGAATCTTTTGGATTCATAGCTAGAACCTCTGTATTTCTATCCTTATATGTGAATACAATTACTCTTACATATTATCTTAGCCTTGAGCAAAAACCACAAACCAAAGAGGAATACACCAAAAAATGACTACCTTTGTTGGTTGTGACCCAAACTTCATATTTACCTATCTTTACTTTGGATACATCCGAGAAATTTACCTCAGCGTTACAAAATTTGAACTTACCTTTTGGCCAGAACTACAAAAATTACTTGCCCCATACATAAGTAAACTACAGGTTTGGACTATTGGACCAGACTTTGGAAATCCACCTTTCCATTTATTTTGTGCTACTACAGACAAAGCCCATACAGCACCACCAGAACAGCCCAATACTCATCATTTAAATAACATTGTAAAGTTTGTATTTCATATGTTTGTAAAAATTGTTTGTGTATTTCACCACGATTTCGCAGCACTCTGTAAGGTTTCCATATTCTAGGTATTCTTAGATAATGATTGCATTTTGTTTTTAAAATTACTTGATATATTGTAAAAGTTGCTAGTTGAAATAAGTTAATAAAATCCATTCCTAAAAATATGTCTATATGTTTAATTTCGTTTGGAAAAGGGTATATTTCAGAAATTTGTATAAGTTTTATTTGCCAAAATCCATTCTTACAATCAAATTTACTATAATATTTTTGTCCTCTAACTAAGTTGATAAGTATTTCTTGGAACAAAAGAAAAGAACCTATAAAAATGAGTAGGATAGGAGGAAGTCAAATAACACACGAGCACAAAGAAAACTTTGAAATCCACATATAAGATATAAAGTTTGGAATTGGCAAAGGTTTGCTCAAGGCTAAGAAAATATGTAAGAGTAATTGTATTCACATATAAGGATAGAAATACAGAGGTTCTAGCTATGAACCCAAAAGATTTCTCACTCACTCATAGTATTCTTAAACAAGGAAATGATCTAAGGTTGATCGATTCTATTGTCATGTAAAGAGATTGTAATTGGTAGATTAATTCCTTTTCTAAATAACGATTTTATCATAATTTGTACTGCTCCTAAATGCACATATTGTACTTTTTCTCTTTTCTTTGGGTCTATTTTTGCTAGAGTTTTTCTTATTCCTAATTTTGTAAGTAATCTTAAGTTTATTGTACTTTTTATACTTTTTACTGGTATACTTCTTTCTACTTCTTGGTATTCATATGTTATTCCTTTGTCTCTTTTCCAAAATGAACTTAACGTGTTTAGAACTTTCTGATTGTTATTACTTATTTTGTCTGATTGTTCTTTTGTTATATTTACTTTTAAAGCATATCCTTCTGATCCCTCGTAACTTTCTATTATTTCGTCTTCGTAAATATCACTATTTATTTCTTCTATTTCACTCATTATCACTATCTTCTAAATCGCTTTCTATTTCAGATTCTGTTTCTATTGTATAAACTTCTAGTTCTGTAATAGATTCTGTATCACTGTATTCTTCTAATTCGCTTTCTAATTCCTTTATATATTCTTCTTCTAGTTCTATGAATTCTATATTTTTGTAATTTTGTTTTTTAGTCTTTTTACATTCTGGGCTTTTATGTCCTTCTTCGCCACATGTCCAACATCTACATGTTGTGGGTTTTCTATTGCTTGTATTAGGTTTGTATGTTGTTTGTCTAAAGGGCTTTCTTTTGTAATATTTTCTATTGGGTCTTCTATTTTTTTTAAAACTTTGGGTATTTTCTAAAAACTTTGTTTTTGTATTTCTTATCATATTTTCTTCTTTTCTTATAAGGTTGTGAGCAACCCCATTGAGTGTAATCTTTTATTTGTTTAGTACAGCAAAGTCCTGTCTTTTTATTATATTTTCTAGCTGAATTTTGTATTTTCTGTTGACTACAAAGTAAGGTTAATTCATCTTTTACCATTTGTATTCTTCCTCCTAAATTATTTTGGTAATTTTGTACTCCTATGGTTCGCCATTTATCCATAAAATAAATATCCCAAGGTTCTGGTAATTTCATTATATATTTATTAGCTAGTTCTTCTTGATTCTCTATGCTGTAATATTGTCTATAGTATAATTCTTGGTAATTACATGTATATTCTGGTAAATAGCACATATTACATTTTCCTATTTTCTCTAATCCTATTCTTGCTCTTTCCTTTTCTAATTGAGTAGCTTTACTTCTATTTACTGAGTATAAGTTTCCTGTAAATTCGTTAGCTATTATACTAACTAAGTATCTCATTCCTGCCCTATCTGATATGGCAAATTCTGCTTCTGTATTAGCTTGTATTAAAGTCTTTGTTTCTTTAGATATTCCTTCGTACCAATTAGCTACGTTTCCTTTGAACATTGTAGTAACTATTTCAAATTTTTCTTTAGGTGTTAACTCATTTTCTTTCCTATATACTAAAAATAGTGTTGTTATGTCCTCCCAATCTATTAGGGTTTTTTCTACGTCTGTAACACAGTCTATGTTTAAAAATTTTCCTTCTCCTACATAGGGTAAAGGTTCTCTGTAAGGTACTGGTGTATA